CCCATTTACCTGTACACACACTCCCACACCTGTATACAATGTCTCTGCCCAACGCACCACCTCCTCCCCAAAACCCTGTCTCCTTAATATGTACCACAATACCTCACGTTCTACACTATCATTCGCCGCCTGCCAATCTAACGCTAAGACACATCCCCCCTGCTTCCCTCCCGACCCTTCCACAAAATTCTTTATAATACTATGCCCATCATACATCGTCCTCCCAGACACACCATATTGTCCTCTCGCAACCACTATCCACCACACACTATTTCCTAAAATTTTTGCAAAAATCTTATAATCAGCACACAGCAATGATATTATCTTAAAGTCCCACACCGTGTCTTGTCTCTTACCTTTTGGCACTAAAACCACAACCACAGTTCCTTGCAACCTGCCCATCCTCCCCTCCCTTTTCATCGTATTCATTAGTTCTACTAAGAAGGACTTCAACACATTCCAATGGCTCACATAAAACTCGCAGGGCAAGCCATCCAGACCGGGAGCCTTACCTCGTGCCATCCCCTCCAAAGCCTCCACACCTCCCCTTCTTCAATATCCCCCCCCACGCCATGTGATCACTGCTACTTAGCACACCAAGATACATTCTCCCCCAACCTCCCGAAAGCCTCCACATCCACCCCTACACAGTAAATTTTTGCCAAACCACCTATCCACGTAATCACTCATTGCCTCCGTTGTTCTTAACTCATGTCCCGCCCTATATCACCTAAGTCCTCATGTACCACCAGCCTATCAATTTCCATAGCCATACGTCACTGCCTCTGTCCCCGTAACACACAGGCCGATGGGCGGTCACCCCACACCGCCTCTTCAATTCCAACCTGCACTCTCACCGCATCAAATCTGTCATTCTGCAAATCTCGAATCCTCCCTTTAACAACTAGATTTCCTCCATGGGTTTACTGCCCTGCCTGCACGCCCCTCTCATAACAACTTTGCAACCCACCCTCGAAATACTGCTGCAACCTGTACGTCATCCAACCCTGGTACTTAACCCATCGCACATAAAACCGCCGGATCCTCTCCTTAGCTACCCCATCCCACCACCCCAGCAAGTCACCACATCCCTACCCTCTCCCCACAAATTCTCCACATTGTCCTAAAATCTAACCCGCCTCCTCCACCCCAAGAAGTCTCACATTTAACTTTCAATACCCTGGATACCTCTTAGGTAAGCTGGCCCAAGTCAAGTCCATATAAACAGCTCTATGATCCGTGTATACAGCATCCACCGTATGCACACACATCACCGCACACTTCTCGTCACATATAACCTATCGAGCCTGGCCGCGTATCCCTCTCTATGAAATGTATGCTCAACATTAGGTCCCCACCTCCAATAACATCCCTTAACCCCACGCCCAGCAAAGACCCCTTAGGCTAACCAAAAAACACCTGCCCCCCGTGGCTCCACATCCTTTCTACGTACTATACAATTCCAATCACCGCCCACGATTGTTACCGAGGGAAGAGATCTCAAATAATAAACCAAAAACATCACGCCACAAATTCATTCTTCACCCATACATCACGCTCCGCCGGTGCATACACACAAACCACTGCCAGTCGCTCACCTCTCCACCATCCATCTACCCGGAGTACCCTACCCTCCCTCACATCTAATTACAACAAACGGGCTCGTCTTCCGAATCAGAATTCCAACCCCCACCTTTCAAACAGTCCGAATATGCCACAAACACACGATATCCATCCACATTCAAATCCCGACCTGCCTTGAAGTTATGCTCCTGCATGAATACAATATCTATGGCATGATGCCTCAAAAACCCCTGGAGCCACAAACGCTTCACATTCACACACAACCCATTTACATTCACAGTCATACACCTGAAACCTTCTTGAAGGGTTTTACACGCTGCCCTGTAACTCCTTTCATAGACACGTCACCAGCCTTCCTACTTTTCCCACCATGCTCAACACAGTGAGCTCTATTCCCACCCCGGTCGAACACCTGACTGGACACACCTGTGGCGCCTCCACTCACCACGTCAGCCCACGGTTTTCCCAGTTCTCTGCGCCGGGGTCAAGACATCATCGGAATCAGAGTGCGTTGCCGCCCTCTTCCGCCGAACACTCTGCATCCATGGTCTGGTCGGGGGATGCCTCACAATGCACCTCCGCCGCCACCTCGACCAGGGGTCACCATTCCCGTAGATTGGCACCTGCGGGTCAGCTGGCTGTCTCCCCTCTCGTCCTCACTCTCCTCTGGTCCTACCACCGATTGTACATTATCCCCGGCTCTCCATCTCCAAAAACCTTTCCGTCAACTGCTCTAAAGCCACATCCTCTGCTCGTTCTCCTCCACTCAGCTTGGTCTCCCCTTCCACTGAAGCGGAGACTGTAGATCCTACAGGCATTGATGGACTCGACCCCACCGTCAGAAACACTCTCTCCACCTCCTCGCTCCAAGACGAACTATGGCCCTTTACAGGCGTCCCACTGGCAGGCCCCGCCTTCGGGTCAGGCCCTCGCTCCGTCCTTTTGTCTGCTTTCCCGTCGTCGCTGCTGCCTCTCACACTGTGCTGCCAAAATGGTCATAAGCGCCACATAGCCTGCAAGTTTTTGCGCTGCCCTGCATTTAAAACGCCATCACTTGCGTGGAAGTCGTCCAGGATCACAAAAGTCGGGATGGGATGCCCCAGCGTCATCTTTAGGTTGACGTACCCTCCGGCCAGCCGGCGTACGCCCCATCCACCCAGGTACCTGCCGTTGCCAGATGCACAGTACCGTAACGTTCGAAAACGTTCCATATATCTGCCTCGTCAGCTTCGAAAGGCACGTTACGTACCTTCACCCAAGTGTAGTGTCGCGACATTAATTAAACGAACTCGTATTGCCGAGTTTACGTCCACACAGCCATCTTGATACTGCTCCACCAGGCGCTCATGTACTGCCGTCGATCGTAGCTTAACGAATATTCGGTAAGCCCCGTTGAACGATACTCCGTACAAATCTTTATCAGCAATGCCGTATGTGTCGCGAATAATCAAAGGTAGAAGCACCTGTGTGGACTGAGGCGTAACTACACCCCGCACTAAATCAAAGCACAGTGTTGTATTGAACCAGGAGCGTGTGCGCAGCACAACCTCACGGCAATAAAGCGATGAGGTCAATGTGATAAGATGTAATTAAGACAATTATTACTCACCAAAGTTAGTTACACCTCTGAGGCAAGTGGGACTTAAGTCCCACTTGCATGGGACTTAAGTCCCACTGCACACAAGTGGCTTTGGCATGTTGCACTTGAATGACTGTATTCCATTGTACTTCTCTGTATCATGTTCAAATAAATAAATAAATAAATAAATAAATAAATAAATAAATAAATAGGTGACAGAATTGCGACTCCTCCAATGCCCATTACTCCTCAACCACACTCACACCAAGTGACACCTAATTACTTATTAATATTTAAGAAAACCAGTAACTCTGGTAAAATTGAATTCGTGGACAGTATACAATGTACGTGACTTGAATGAACATATGGTAGGTCTGTGAAGGTTTACTCAACCCTTAAGATCTTAAGCAGGTCATAACAAAACTGGCTCCTACTCAGGAAAATTAATGAATAGAAAAGGAATAACATACAAATATAAACACTGTTATAATTGAAAATATAAAACATTTAAATATGAACTTTTATCCTACGTGAAAGAGAAATGAAAGATTGAAAAATAAAAATGATATTTGAATTCAACTCTAATATGTACAGTTAGACTGCACATGTTAGTTTGTGGTTGACGTTGACACCGCGCCTTGTAGACATTGTAGCCGTTGCTGACAACCCAACGACTAGTTCGTCAGTGTGTCTAGCCTTGAATAATCCGTGAAGATGATAGGAACGCAGGTCTTTCACCACTGCAAAGATAAGGGGTAGTTGCCTGGGGTTGGCTACACTCCTCAGGTATGTAGATAAAAAGGTGACATCCCAGAGCTTATGTGAAGTTCATCTTCAACACTGTTTCTGTGGTATGGAACTGGGGTGGGAGTCGTGTTTCAGGGCACACATTAGGATGGGACTGGGGTGGGAGCTGTGTTTCACGGCACACACTAGGGCGGGACTGGGGTGGTAGCTGTTTCAGGGCACACACTAGGATGGGAGCTGTGTTTCAGAGCACACCCTAGGATGGGACTGGGGTGAGAGCTGTGTTTCAGGGCATACACTAGGATGGGACTGGGGTGTGAGTTGTTTCAGGGCACTCACTAGGATGAGACTGCAGACGATGGGCCTTAAATATCTTCAACACACCCAGAGAAGACATTGCCGAGAAGAGATACATAGTCCTCCCCCACACCAACTCCATTACCAAACACTTTTCCAACATCTCCAAAACCTCATTCCAAGTATCTACTTCCACCACCATCAAGGACATTACCAGTAATAGACAAGACAAACTTCAATCCTCTGCAGGGGTATACACAATCCCTTGTAATGACTTCAGCAAATTATACGTGGGCGAAACATCCAGAGACCTCCAAACACGTATTTCAGAACACCAGTACGCAGGCAAATCTGACGATCCAAGGAATGCCTGTGTTCAACACTGAAATTCACACAACCATTTAATCAACTACAGAAACGCAAGACTTATCGCCAGAGAAGAAAATACCGAAGTATCCTAGAATCATCACTTATCTATATGTTCAACAACTTCAGCCAGAACAGCTTGTATAACATAGCTGAACACCCTTGCCAAGAAAGTTCATCTCTATCACACACGAGAACGGAGGAACACTGCAGTAGGTCTACTCATACTTATCAAATCTCTTTAAAACTACCAAAGTTTTTAGACTATCACTACTCGGAAGATTGTCACATGCAGCTTTCTCCACCTGACCCAGCATTCTCATCCTATAAATACTCACGAACGTTTCACCCAGGTAGATCCGTTTGTGACTTGATAAAGCCCACTGCATGGGCGAAACGTTGTCAATAAAGGATCACATTATACTGCTTGAGTGTTTATATTTCCAACATCAAATTAAAAACAGTTCTGCATTGTGAACCGTGACAACGTGTTCGCCCTTCCATACCTCTTAAGAAAGGGGAAGGGAATGTTGTGCCCAACATGGCGAAGGATGCATTGCTGATGCTGTGGTCGGAAAGATTGTCAGTAGTGTAAACTAGTTGGAGCATAGAGAATTTTCTCCATGGACTTAGAAATGGATCATAAGGGAAGGAATTGCTTAGTTGGAAGTTTCTTAGAAGCATAAGAAGAAACTGAGGTAAATCATCGGTGACAGGTCGATGTTGTTTGGATGGAACGTTAGATGCGGACCATACAAAGTTGCGTACGATCCGAAAATAGATGCACTATGTGGAGAAGCCAGGATCACAGTCAAAGCAGCACGGATGTCAAGTTTCTAAAGGTTCAGTCGAAACTGCTGTACCAGAGGGTAGCAGAACCTTATTACCTGGAGAAGGTCTGTTTAGAAGAGAGGTCCAAAGAAAGGTCTGAAAGTGTCAGGGTATGTAAAGGGTGCTGCAGGAAAGAGCCCGCGAGGAGGCAGGTTATGGGCCTTCGTGGAAAATTTCCCCTTTATTTAAAAAAAGGGGATGGGGAATGAGGAGAAATAGCTCCCAGGAGGAATGAAAGGGATCTAGATAGGCTGCCTCCAGAGGCGCATCAGTCACCCTAAGAACACTTACCATCTCCCGGAACTCTGGCGGGTGACTGACTTCCCTGGATGATCCAGATTCCACAGCAAACACTTCACCTTCATAGGCGATGACCCTATAATCCAAAAGTAGGAAAGGAGAAGAATGAGAGGGGAGGGACGGGGGTAGTGAATGGGGGAGAGCAGAGCAATTAGGTCTAGTTGGAGAATGGTCCAATTCTTCAGACCAAAAGCCTTTTACCTGGATAAGGAGACCCCCCCCCCCTCCCAATAAAGAGGCGAGGTTCCTGAAATCTGTAGCCCTTTGCCAGGGCACCAAACTCAGTGACGAGTGCAAATGGTATTCAGCTTTGGTCCAAGGGATGGCAGCTCGACCGGTTTTTAAAACAGTTTACAAGTCTAAATTTAAGTCAGACTATCAGTGTAAGGAAGAAAAAAAACATTTAAAAACTTAGTTATAAAACTTAAATGTACACAGTAAAAAAACTTAAAATCATTAAATAAAGATACCTTCACCCATGTAGCCAGCCCATAGAAAAAAAAATTAAGGTATTTTCAGAATACTTTCCAGTACCTCAAACTGTTAAAAACTAATTAGAAATAAGGTCTTCCTAGATGACTTGTGTCTTCTACCTTCCAGCCACGTAGCCACAGACGTCACATCGTTGCCCACGTAGCAGGTAAGGTACTGCCAGTCCCAGGGGAAAGAGACAGATGGCTGCACATATACCACAGGTGGGATACACATTGTGAAGGTCACCAACCTGTTGAAAATGTCGTACATTAGGGGAAACTAAATCAGTAAGGATTCAATTGTTATGGTTATGGGGGATTACCAACAGACTCCTGGCAGTCTTCAAGCTGGCACTGGACAAGCACCTCAAGTCGGTTCCTGATCAGCCGGGCTGTGGCTCGGTTCCTGATCAGCCGGGCTGTGGCTCGTACGTTGGTTTGCGTGCAGCCAGCAGTAACAGCCTGGTTGATCAGGCTCTGATCCACCAGGCCTGGTCACAGACCGGGCCGCGGGGGCGTTGACCCCCGGAACTCTCTCTCCAGGTAAACTCCAGGTAATAGGAATTAGCTTGCGAATGATAGGAAAAACCGTACAATTCTGTTTTCAAAATTAAGATTCTTTCTAAAAAAAATATTTATGCTAATTATAATCTATTGTATAAAGTAAAAAAAATCAAATGTCACATCAATATAAAAAAAAATGCCTAATTTACTTTATGGAAATGTAACTTCTCACTCGGCAACTTCTCACTCGGCAACTTCTCACTCGGCAACTTCTCACTCGGCAACTTCTCACTCGGCAACTTCTCACTCGGCAACTTCTCACTCGGCAACTTCTCACTCGGCAACTTCTCACTCGGCAACTTCTCACTCGGCAACTTCTCACTCGGCAACTTTCACTCGGCAACTTCTCACTCGGCAACTTCTCACTCGGCAACTTCTCACTCGGCAACTTCTCACTCGGCAACTTCTCACTCGGCAACTTCTCACTCGGCAACTTCTCACTCGGCAACTTCTCACTCGGCAACTTCTCACTCGGGAACTTCTCACTCGGCAACTTCTCACTCGGCAACTTCTCACTCGGCAACTTCTCACTCGGCAACTTCTCACTCGGCAACTTCTCACTCAGCAACTTCTCACTCAGCAACTTCTCACTCAGCAACTTCTCACTCAGCAACTTCTCACTCAGCAACTTCTCACTCAGCAACTTCTCACTCAGCAACTTCTCATCAGCAACTTCTCACTCAGCAACTTCTCACTCAGCAACTTCTCACTCAGCAACTTCTCACTCAGCAACTTCTCACTCAGTAACTTCTCACTCAGTAACTTCTCACTCAGTAACTTCTCACTTAGTAACTTCTCACTTAGTAACTTCTCACTTAAGCGGCAGATAGAAATCTAAAAAAAATTAATTTTCCTTTAAAACTAAATCAAATCTGAAAACGAACCTGTGAGGAGTTCCGTCATTGATAAATTAGACACATGTGCAACTCTTGGGTATCTTTATTGAGGAAACGTTTCGCCACACAGTGGCTTCATCAGTCCATACACAGGAGAATCTTGAAGAACAGGAGGAGAATGAGGTAATCAGTCCCTCAACCTTGAGTCGATGTGGTCAGTCCATCAATCTTGAATAGAATACGGCATACGTGCTGAGGAGCTTATAAACCGTTGGCAGGAGAGGTGCAGCAGTCATAGGTGGTGTAACATTTGTTCAATGTGGAAGTAGGTCGTGCCCAAGAATTAGGCAAGCGAAGAATTCCCAAGTATTAAGATCCCAAGAAGTTGCAGTGTCTGACAGGTTTGTAGATGAATGGTTCAGAGAACCGACATGTTGGACTGAACACATCGACTCAAGGTTGAGGGACTGATTACCTCATTCTCCTCCTGTTCTTCAAGATTCTCCTTTGTATGGACTGATGAAGCCACTGTGTGGCGAAACGTTTCCTCAATAAAGGTACCCAAGAGTTGCACATGTGTCTAATTTATCAACATGTCGGTTCTCTGAACCATTCATCTACAGTTCCGTCATTACACTCACCTTACAACTGGGGCAGGAACCTGGGGTAACACTGATACCCGGTGGTGGTGGTGTGTCTTGTCCAGTAACAGTTATTGCTTCCGTTTCATCTCTCTGGGAGGAAAATCCTGGAAATGAGCCTAGAGTAGATCTGGGCGCAGAGGCTGGAAAAAATTGAAGCGAGATATGATAAAGTGTAGTGATAGAGGCATTTATCAAATTAGGTCACCATAGCCACTTGTGTCCCGGCATCATGGTACATGGCCCAGTCCTGCTGGGTGCACGATGTTTGTAGGATTGTAATCCAGTGGTTAGTGTTGTGAATGTCCCACTAGGCGGGCTAATGTAGCTCGGGATCGATCCCCAGTACACACAGTTCATTGCAACTAGTTTAGTAGCTTACAGAATTAGGTTAGTTAAAATGAAAGAAAAAATCAGGGACAGTAAATATTCATAAATACATATTAACCGTGACAGTATTTGCCGAACATTGTACAAAGTTCCGGGATATTGGATATTGTCAGCTGACAGATGAGCACATCCATTAGGTTAGGTAAGGTTCGTCAGGAAACAAGAAATGTTTCCTGACGCCGGTCTTAGATGATGACCCGGCTTACCCCTGGCTTACCGGTCCACCCCTTGAACAAGTACAGTCATGTAGAACCATCTTGGTTACTAGCATATACATTCTATCTATTTTATTATTTGGAAGGTTACCCACAACAGCTGCAATCTTTAAGTGTATTATCCACTAATGTAACAATCTCTGTCCCATCACCTGTTCTCAGCAGTGCCCGTGACCGGGTGGCAAAAGCTCTCGCTTCACACGCCCAGGGTACGGCTTCAACTCCCGGTAAGTGTAGAAATACTGGGCGTGTTTCTTCCTTACACCTGTTGTCCATGTTCACCCGTCAGTAAAATGAGTACCTGGGTGTTAGTGGGACTGGTTGTGGGTGGCATCCTGGGACAAAACTGACCTAATTTGCGGGAAATGCTCAGCATAACAAGGGACTTTCTATATAGTAGTATGTCACTGATGTCATCTATGGTCTGTATACCTTGTACTTTTAGTAAATAAAGATATCTTTAAAAGGATGTTTATTTCTCTAACTGCTATACAGCTGATGCTAGTAAGATCTTTCTATTAGTCTACAATGTTACTTAGAAGTTACACAGATCCTCCTCATTAACAAGCCATAAATATTGTTAGGTAAGACACATATGCAACAGTTAGGTATCTTTATTTCGAAACGTTTCGCCTACACAGTAGGCTTCTTCAGTCGAATACAGGAAAGTTGATAGAAGCAGAAGATACTTGAAGACGATGTAATCAGTCCATCACCCTTAAAGTTTTGAGGTGGTCAGTCCCTCAGTCTGGAGAAGAGCATTGTTTCAGACTACAGAACAAAGCTCTTCTCCAGACTGAGGGACTGACCACCTCAAAACTTTAAGGGTGATGGACTGATTACATCGTCTTCAAGTCTCTTCTGCTTCTATCAACTTTTCTGTATTCGACTGAAGAAGCCTACTGTGTAGGCGAAACATTTCGAAATAAAGATACCTAACTGTTGCATATGTGTCTTACCTAACAACCTGTCGGTATTTTATACCATTTTAATGTTCAAGCTATAATTATCACAAATTTTTCGAACATTACAATGTAAAAATCACTTAATTAAAAGAGAAAAAAAAAACTAACTCACAGACAGCAGAGTCACGAACTGATCTACCACGAGCAGACACAGTTGCCATACGACTGGCAACAACTGAAAGAAAATTAGAGATCTGTAGTTAAATTTTTTTTTTAAATTGGCACATTAATACCAGTTTTCACACCGTGAAAATTACGCCAATGAAAAGAGTAATCTAAATTGTATAAAAACATTTAGGCACAAGTATATGCATTAGTAAATTTGATTCAATAAATCCATGGTAGCACTAAAAATGTTTAAAAATAGTGATCTCAAAAAAAAACTTGCCCAAAAATTTCGTTGCAGTTGATACTTTGTATGTAAAACTAAGACAAAAAAATCACGCACTCTGCTAAATTGTCAATTAAGGACAAATTTATCAAGGTTAGAAAGAGGGAAGAAGTTTGCGAAGTTGACTTGCAGACGCCCTCGAAGAGGGAAGAGGTTTGCGAAGTTGACTTACAACACTCTTCGAGGGCGTCTGCATCTTCTTAAAGAAGGCATCCCCTCCTTCCCATTACCCCCCTCCTTTCCAATTTAGAGAAGCAATATTGGAAGAAATTAATAAACCCCTGAGTTTGTCACTTCAAACATCGGTTTACAGCCTGATCTGAGCCAGACTATCATGGACAAGTGGCCCTCCAGAAATTCTTATAACTACCTGGAATCATAGATCAGTATGACCTCGAAGGCGCCAGGATAATGGCGTGAGCACACGCCACTGATCTAGCAATATAAATTAGTGCCACCATATTTAAAACAATTATATAATTCATGCCGGGAGGAAAGAACTACCACCTGGCCAAAAAGAACTACCACCTGGCCAAAAAGAACTACCATCTGGCCAAAAAGAACTACCATCTGGCCAAAAAGAACTACCATCTGGCCAAAAAGAACTACCATCTGCCCAAAAAGAACTACCATCTGCCCAAAAAGAACTACCATCTGCCCAAAAAGAACTACCATCTGCCCAAAAAGAACTACCATCTGCCCACAAGAACTACCATCAGCTTTCTTATAAACATTACAGAAATAAACAGCCCAACAGTAGGATGTCTAAATGAATGTACTTCCGGAGCAACATGTCGAGTGTTAGCCACAGCAGCCGGGCACCTGACAATCTCTCACTATCACCACCAACCCTAGATACAAAGGTGACCTCCGCAGATAAGCCAACCAATAAAATAAAGTGGTCTACCTGAGAGGCCACCTAGTGGTCGTCTCCCAATGAGTGATGTACACCATCTTTACACTGCGATCTGTTAATGTACAAGGAGAGCACCTAACAGTAGATGGTGGCTCCTTCCATAATCCCCTGGAACGAAAAAGCCGGGGGGGGGGGAAAGAGGGGTTTTGTTTTAGCGAGGTTAAGCTGTTCAAAATGTCAAAGACATCTATGGAAATGTTCATCAACAGTTAGTAGGGATTAGCTTAATATCTTGCAATTAGAAAAAAAAAGTTAAGTGCTAAACCCTTGTGGCTTCTTTATTGCAAGACGTGGGGGAGGATCAATCCTTGATAAAGATTAACATATTTAGTTATACACCTTGACAAAACACTAGACACTAGAATAAAATGTTCAAGCAACATAACTGAACTAACCTATCCACACCTTACTTGTGGTATTTGTTTTGTGATCTAAAAACAAACTTATAGAAACCTATTGTTACAATACAGAAATCAGCTGTTAGAATAATTAACCAATCAGGTTCCAGACAATCCCTTCTCCCTCGCAGCCATGCAATACTTCGCCGAGTTGTACCAAACTTAATACGAACTTCAACGTAGCTCACAGTCTTGAGCAGCAATGAGAGACAAGCCAATAGTAGACTCCTTACAATACACTGCAAAATCATTTACAGGCAAGGAAACTTCTACATCAGGAATAACACTGACCACACAAATTAGGACTTTAATGAAACAGATGATGCTCCAAATATTACCCTCGGGTATCCCTCCCGGTCCAGGTTTAACTTCCGCGAGTAGCACGAACCAGACTAACCTTTAACGATATGCTAGTCCAAGAGTCTGGAGATAAGAGAATGCCAAACCTCCACGTAGTGTCACGTTTTTGCCTAACATTAGGACAGGTTATACCAAAGCTGGGTATTGGGAAGGTATGCTCACAGTAGGCAAGTTGTATCAACTAGCAAATAGATTTGTCATGGGATAAAAGGAAATTACTCACGAAATCGTAATGAGACGATTGAAAACTATACCACGGGTGGGGCTTGAACCCGTCGGTCTGGAGTTTTACGACTGACTGCGGGTTCAAGCCCCGCCCGTGGTATGGTTTAGTTAATAAAGGGAAACGATATACCTGGAGTTTACCTGGAGAGAGTTTCGGGGGTCAACGCCCCCGCGGCCCGGTCTGTGACCAGGCCTCCTGGTGGATCAGCGCCTGATCAACCAGGCTGTTGCTGCTGGCTGCACGCAAACCAACGTACGAGCCACAGCCCGGCTGATCAGGAACTGACTTTAGTTGCTTGTCCAGTGCCAGCTTGAAGACTGCCAGGGGTCTGTTGGTAATCCCCCTTATGTGTGCTGGGAGGCAGTTGAACAGTCTCGGGCCCCTGACACTTATTGTATGGTCTCTTAACGTGCTAGTGACACCCCTGCTTTTCATTGGGGGGATGGTGCATCGTCTGCCAAGTCTTTTGCTTTCGTAGTGAGTGATTTTCGTGTGCAAGTTTGGTACTAGTCCCTCTAGGATTTTCCAGGTGTATATAATCATGTATCTCTCCCTCCTGCGTTCCAGGGAATACAGGTTTAGAAACCTCAAGCGCTCCCAGTAATTGAGGTGTTTTATCTCCGTTATGCGCGCCGTGAAAGTTCTCTGTACATTTTCTAGGTCGGCAATTTCACCTGCCTTGAAAGGTGCTGTTAGAGTGCAGCAATATTCCAGCCTAGATAGAACAAGTGACCTGAAGAGTGTCATCATGGGCTTGGCCTCCCTAGTTTTGAAGGTTCTCATTATCCATCCTGTCATTTTTTCTAGCAGATGCATTGATACAATGTTATGGTCCTTGAAGGTGAGATCCTCCGACATAATCACTCCTAGGTCTTTGACGTTGGTGTTTCGCTCTATTTTGTGGCCAGAATTTGTTTTGTACTCTGATGAAGATTTAATTTCCTCATGTTTACCATATCTGAGTAATTGAAATTTCTCATCGTTGAACTTCATATTGTTTTCTGCAGCCCACTGAAAGATTTGGTTGATGTCCGCCTGGAGCCTTTCAGTGTCTGCAATGGAAGACACTGTCATGCAGATTCGGGTGTCATCTGCAAAGGAAGACACGGGTGCTGTGGCTGACATCCTTGTCTATGTCGGATATGAGGATGAGGAACAAGATGGGAGCTAGTACTGTGCCTTGTGGGACAGAGCTTTTCACCGTAGCTGCCTCGGACTTTACTCTGTTGACGACTACTCTCTGTGTTCTGTTAGTGAGGAAATTATAGATCCATCGACCGACTTTTCCTGTTATTCCTTTAGCGCGCATTTTGTGCGCTATTACGCCATGGTCACACTTGTCGAAGGCTTTTGCAAAGTCTGTATATATTACATCTGCATTCTTTTTGTCTTCTAGTGCATTTAGGACCTTGTCGTAGTGATCCAGTAGTTGAGACAGACAGGAGCGACCTGTTCTAAACCCATGTTGCCCTGGGCAAGAGGTCGATATAAGGGTTTACAAGATTCCAGGTGTATACGATCCCTTCTACAGAAGGTTGGGGTAGAAAATAGTGAAAAATCCTTCAGCGTAAATGCTCCAGATAGTGAGAGCATTGAAATAATTAGTTACAAGGTAGGAAAACCAGTTAGTAGGATTAAAGGCAGAATATTGTAACCCACAATTAAAGGATTGGAATGTAGAGAGCATGATCAGGAAGATGTCTCAAAGAATATTAAGAGACTAATGGATTGCCAAGGCCACATAGGACAATATTGATAAACATTGCTGTATACAGTTCACTTTGTGGCACATCTATAACCACTTCCGACACGACTTTAACCAATACTCTGTAACCAAACCATACCCCGGCCGGGACTGAACTCGCGGTCAGAGTCTCAAAACTCCAGACCGTCACGTTAGCCACTGGACCAGCTAGCCACAATAAGATTCATCCAACTAGGTATATTTCTACACCATAGGAAGGTTAGCACAGGCACCTCTGTGACCACAAATGCAATATACCTAGTTGGACGAATCTTATTGTGGCTAGCTGGTCTAGTGGCTAACGCTACGGTCTGGAGTTTTGAGAGAGACTGACCGCGGGTTCAATTCCAGCCGGGGTATGGTTTGGTTACAGTATTGGTTAAAGTCGTGTCGGAAGTGGTTATAGATGTGCCACAAAGTGAACTGTATACAGCAATGTTTATCAATATTGTCCTATGTGGCCTTGGCAATCCATTAGTCTCTTAATATTCTTTGAGACATCTTCCTGATCATGCTCTCTACATTCCAATCCTTTAATTGTGGGTTACATTATTCTGCCTTTAATCCTACTAACTGTTTTTTCTACTTTGTAATTAATTATTTCAATGCTCTCACTATCTGGAGCATTTACGCTGAAGGATTTTTCACTATTTTCTACCCCAACCTTCTGTAGAAGGGATCGTATACACCTGGAATCTTGTAAACCCTTATATCGACCTCTTGCCCATTATATCGTTTCCCTTTATTAACTAAACCATACCACGGGCGGGGCTTGAACCCGCAGTCAGAGTCGTAAAACTCCAGACCGACGGGTTCAAGCCCCACCCGTGGTAAAGTTTTCAATCGTCTCATTACGATTTCGTGAGTCAATACTCTGTACCCTGTCATAGCGGGTATGTTCGGTTTTTGTGTCTTTTTATAGTTATGGTAGCTTTGGTCAGGGTTTTTTTTATACTTTACTGACATGATTTGTGTTGTATATATATTGTGTGTTAAAGGTGGTTATGGCTTTAGTCACGTGATACAACTTTAACTTTAGTAACCTTGTGATGTTGTGCATTATATGTTTGTTGTTGTAACAGGTTATGACAGGTACTCCTTTTTTGTTAAACCATGTCAAATTTCCTTTTGGTGTATTTATTTTGTCACAATTTGCGTGGCGGTACCTATATATGACCAACACTTTAGTTAGTTTTGTTTTAGTTTATATTCTTTGTTATAACAGGATGTTGTTCTGAAACTTGTAACCTCCAGGACTAACCTGGTACTGGTAGCCTATAAGATTGTTTTTGTATTCCTGTCCTATTATGCTTCCTTTGTACTTTTGTAAGTTTTTTTTAAATAAAATATATATAAAAAAACTCACTTTGAGAGTTTAAAACTTTAAGAATTGAGAAAAAAAAAATATTGACGTGTTTAACAACGTGAGAGTGGCCATGGTGTTAACTTTTTTAATGTTTAACATTGATAATGTGTTTAACAACGTGAGAGTGGCCGTGGTGTTAACTTGTTTAATGTTTAACACTGATAATGTGTTTAACAACGTGAGAGTGGCCGTGGTGTTGACTTGTTTAATGTTACATATTGTTATCGTGTTTAACCACGTCAGGTGAGGGCTGTGGAAGTGTGGGTTGTCAGGTGGGGGGCTGTGGAAGTGTGGGTTGTCAGGTGGGGGGGCTGTGGAAGTGTGGGTTGTCAGGTGGGGGGCTGTGGAAGTGTGGTTGTCAGGTGGGGGGCTGTGGAAGTGTGGGTTGTCAGGTGGGGGGGCTGTGGAAGTGTGGGTTGTCAGGTGGGGGGCTGTGGAAGTGTGGGTTGTCAGGTGGGAGGGCTGTGGAAGTGTGGGTTGTACAGGTGGGAGGGCTGTGGAAGTGTGGGTTGTCAGGTGGGAGGGCTGTGGAAGTGTGGGTTGTCAGTGTGGAGGGCTGTGGAAGTGTGGGTTGTCAGGTTGGGAGGGCTGTGGAAGTGTGGGTTGTCAGGTGGGAGGGCTGTGGAAGTGTGGGTTGTCAGGTGGGAGGGCTGTGGAAGTGTGGGTTGTCAGTGGGAGGGCTGTGGAAGTGTGGGTTGTCAGGTGGGAGGGCTGTGGAAGTGTGGGTTGTCAGGTGGGAGGGCTGTGGAAGTGTGGGTTGTCAGGTGGGAGGGCTGTGGAAGTGTGGGTTGTCAGGTGGGAGGGCTGTGGAAGTGTGGGTTGTCAGGTGGAGGCTGTGGAAGTGTGGGTTGTCAGGTGGGAGGGCTGTGAAGTGTGGGTTTGTCAGGTGGGAGGGCTGTGGAAGTGTGGGTTGTCAGGTGGGAGGGCTGTGGAAGTGTGGGTTGTCAGGTGGGAGGGCTGTGGAAGTGTGGGTTGTCAGGTGGGAGGGCTGTGGAAGTGTGGGTTGTCAGGTGGGAGGGCTGTGGAAGTGTGGGTTGTCAGGTGGGAGGGCTGTGGAAGTGTGGGTTGTCAGGTGGGAGGGCTGTGGAAGTGTGGGTTTGTCGGTGGGAGGGCTGTGGAAGTGTGGGTTGTCAGGTGGGAGGGCTGTGGAAGTGTGGGTTGTCAGGTGGGAGGGCTGTGGAAGTGTGGGTTGTCAGGTGGGGGGGCTGTGGAAGTGTGGGTTGTCAGGTGGGGGGCTGTGGAAGTGTGGGTTGTCAGGTGGGAGGGCTGTGGAAGTGTGGGTTGTCAGGTGGGAGGGCTGTGGAAGTGTGGGTTGTCAGGTGGGAGGGCTGTGGAAGTGTGGGTTGTCAGGTGGGGAGGGGCTGTGGAAGTGTGGGTTGTCAGGTGGGGGGGGCTGTGGAAGTGTGGTTGTCAGGTGGGGGGGGCTGTGGAAGTGTGGGTTGTCAGGTGGGGGGGCTGTGGAAGTGTGGGTTGTCAGTGGGGGGGCTGTGGAAGTGTGGGTTGTCAGGTGGGGAGGGCTGTGGAAGTGTGGGTTGTCAGGTGGGGAGGGCTGTGGAAGTGTGGGTTGTCAGGTGGGAGGGCTGTGGAAGTGTGGGTGTCAGGTGGGGAGGGCTGTGGAAGTGTGGGTTGTCAGGTGGGGAGGGCTGTGGAAGTGTGGGGTTGTCAGGTGGGGGGGCTGCGGAAGTGTGGTTGTCAGGTGGGAGGGGCTGTGGAAGTGTGGGTTGTCAGGTGGGTAGGGCTGTGGAAGTGTGGGTTGTCAGGTGGGAGGGCTGTGGAAGTGTGTGGTTGTCAGGTGGGAGGGCTGTGGAAGTGTGGGTTGTCAGGTGGGGGCTGCGAAGTGTTGGATGTCAGGTGGGGCTGCGGAAGTGTTGGATGTCAGTGTTAGCATCAGTGTATTATAAAGATCTTGGTAATTATGTAACACTGTGTTTCTAGGTAGATTGTAGGTTGTGTTAGGTTATCATAAGGTAACATTGTATGTTTACTCATGTGGACCGTTGCAGTACTAGTGTTGAATAAACCATACCACGGGCGGGATTTGAACCCGCGATCAGTGCGTCTCAAAACTCCAGAACGTCGCGTTAGCCACTGGAGTTTTGAGACTCTGACCACGGGTTCAAATCCCGCCCGTGTTATGGTTTGTTTGCAATCGTGTCATTACGATTTCGTGAGTCAAGTGTTGAATATTCTGTCATAACATGTACCATTTCATGGTATCTTTATATTGCATCTTTTAATAGTTTTACGTGAGAAAAATAAGGGGTGGTACATACTTTAGAAATTAATGGGTGTAGATAAGGTATTAAAAGTTATCGATGAAAATTGAGACTAAATTAAAGGTCTGGTAGCAGACAAGAGTAATATTATAGGTTGCTTAATAAGGTATATGAAGACTTAAGAGTAGAGAAGAAAGCTTTACCAGTTATATAAAGTTAATGTTGACCATAATTAAAAAAAAGTTAGTCCCTATTGGTAAATTTTAGTGTTACTCAAGCTGCGACGCCTCCTGCACAAGTGTTATTATCACTATATCAATGTTTAATTCGGTGACTCGTAAAACTACGACTCACGAAAACGTAATAACACTATTGCAAATCCACGGAACAAGCGAGGATTAAACTCACGGCTTACGCACTTGCCATGGGTTCAAACCCCACCCGTTCCGTGGTTTATAAAATAGCTTTCTTCAGTTACTGAGAAAAAAACCATTTGTTCGTATACGGCAGTTAGCGGAAATGTCTGTTATAGTATCTTAAGTAGAAACAGGAAGATAATACGTTAAATATAGTGGTTTAGATTCTCTTTAACGGAAACAGTATTGATGTTAATACTAGTCTACAACTGAGGTTTTAAGAGGAACAATTTAAAACTAGAGAGCTTCCAGGAAATGTTAAAATAGTTAATTTGTTAAATAAAATGTTAACTGTGTTAATAAACTAAAGTGAGAAACAACACTCCTGGACAGATGCTGGGGGTAAGATTTTAAACAGGGACAAGTATTACAATGCAGTAGAAATATATACAAAGTAATTACATGTAAAGGACGTAAACAATTACAAAGGTGTAGGACTAATATACTAGATTCAATAAGTTAGATGAGCGCTGAAATAAGTTACTGTATGGTACCAGCTTGTTTACTTGGAGTTTACTTGGAGAGAGTTCCGGGGATCAACGCCCCCGGAAAATCTGGAAATGCCATTTCAGACATTATCAACGTATTCTAATTGTGAACATGTCTAGAGATCCTAAAGGAATTACTTAAAAGATGCATTTTAATATATTTAAATACACTATATCGGCATGCGATATAGAAGAAAAACTACGAACCTAAAATGTGGATTACCAACACTTTCCAAAAGTCATTTCCAAAGAAAAAAATAGATTTTAGCCGTTTGAAAACTACAATTATACTAGTTGGGTGACGGAGGACGCTGGAAATAAAACGTATAATGTGAAATGTTTTAAATAAACTTTCGATAAAACCTTGTTAAACTACCCACAACAACTACGTCTCAAACGTGTAATACAAACAGTAATATTACCTTGTTGGGACCTAACAGGCATAACATCTATGTTCAAAGATTTTTCCCATAAACACTAAAATCAGCCACAGAATTAATATAGGAGAGTGTGAGTAAAGCCACACAGTTGTTGACTGACCTGGCGACTCAGTTGTTACCCCAACACCTGAATCTTCGAAGCTTCAGATATCGAAATTCATCAAAGTGATTTCAAATTATTTTTTTTTTATATTTTATTTAAAAAGTACATCAGAGCACATAAATAACACACAGGTCGTATCCGTCAACAGCTGTAATGGACTTCCCATGGCCATTTAATACCATATACAACTGTAAAAGTTATACATCATGCAAGAAAAATTATCTAATGAAAACACTAACAATAACAAAGATAAGGAGAGTATTAAATACATACTTCCGTACAAACTACATCAAAAGTAAAGCCAGATTACTTACTATGACATAACATCATAAGAATTAATATAGGAGAGTGTGAGTAAAGCCACACTGTTGTTGACTGACCGGGCGACTCAGGGTTACCCCAAACACTGAAGCTTCGAAGCTTCAGATATCGAAATTCATCAAAGTGATTTGAAATTATTAGTTTGTAAAGCCATAAAGACTGCGCGTGACTTAGTGGTATATACACAGAAATATACATCACAGTGTATATACACCACAAGGTGTGATTTCGATGTATTTATGCCCTGTTTGGGAAAATTGTATTCATTACGGGTGTACTAAAGCTGGTTTAATGACCCTAGTCTAGTCAATAGGCTTTAAAATTTCACTTTTGTTCAATTATTTTACTTTATTTAAAACTGTGATACATATAACAAATAATGTTCATTTTAAAACTTGCAAAAAAAAAATGAAGAAATTATCAGTGCCCTAAGACTGACAGCGAAATAACAAAGGAGCAACACACCGCATAAATTAGCAAACAGAAACCCAATGGTAATGGAAAATAAGTCACTTGTCTGACTTTTTTGGGTCATCCCAGGTTCTCTACACATATGTTTCTACGTTTTTATAATCTATGTAACTAATTTTTGTATACCTGAATAAACTTACACAAGTTGCAATCCTTGAACAAATATAAACACAACACAAAATACACTGACACAAAGTACCCACTACCAAACACCCAAAAAACAAAAAAAAAAAATTTTTTTTTTTTTTTTTTTTTTATATTTTATTTAAAACATCATAAAAACAAGGCTGCTTAAAAAATTAAATAGCATCACCATACGTAACAAATATAACACTGGTGGAAACACCACTTAACCCATTATAACCTACATGCACATCATACAAACATGTTACATCGATGTTTAAACAATAGTTTATGTAATTTGCATACAACATATACAATTGATTATAGAAATTCCAACTTAGACACAAATTCAATGATTTACTCTAATACAAATTCATAACATAATAAATAATTTATTAAATTGACGATCATATTAATCGTCAGCAATTTCCATCCATTCCATAAGTGTTCAATCTTGATACCTATGAACTACGTTTGAATCACAAACAAAAATCATAATGTTGCTACATAAATTATAGGATACAATTGGATAACTCAGGTAATGTACACGTGTTATATCCCTTTAATACTTGGTGACTCACAGACTAATTGAACAGTAACAGGGAAGGGGGAAAACAGCATATATAACAT